ACTTTTACTCTCTATGATCCTGAGAAAATGATTCTGTTGCCGGCTGGGGAGGATAATTATTTATGCAACTCGCTCTCGTTTTCCTCTAATGTCCATCTTGTACAGGATGCAGCTGTGAGGAGCTCTAACCAGAGCCAAAACAAGTAGATGCTCCACTTTTTTTACCTTTTATGTTCAGCAGGACTTTTCTGAACTGTCATCTCATATAGCAGCATTTCAGAACGAGCTACCGCACATTCACCCCACGAGAGTTAGCATCAGCATCACCATTAAACCATTTTCACTGTTCAGCTTATTTGTTTTTGTTTGTTATTGCAGATGTAAATATCCGTTTTTAAAACGACCCCGTTCCTATCGATCTGTTAGACATTTTAAAAAGAAAATTATTTGTGCAAAGGATTATTATGCCACAATCATAGCCGAGCACTCGGGAATAATTGTAGTGCGGTTGGAGCCTGTGTAGGTGTTGAATACAGGACACCTGACTGTCTAACAGAAAACACAGCTTCTCTTATCATTACCTGTCATTAGCCATGACTGCAGTTGGTGCTAGGAAGAGTGCCTTATCATAACACGGAGCCTGTGTGCACTGTAATCAGTGACAGGTGTGGAGCTGTTAGACTTTCTGAAGCATGATTAATAATATTTTTTTTATATCTCTGGTGATAGAGATATTTTTCATCTCAATGTTATGCTGTCATGCCGCTTGGGAATTCTGTTGCTTTTCTTAATAATGTGCTCCGGTAAATAAATATAATAGTAAAGGTAAAAATAGAACTTAAAATATGAAATGTGCTCACAAAGTTCCACAACTCTGTCTAGAAATTTAAAGAAAAACCCAAAATATTGTTTTTTATTCCGCTGATCTCTGCTTCACAATCATCTCTTTGTGCGCCTCTCCACGACTGGACCCATTTCTGGATCACTTACTGGAGTCCACTTCTGACCACATCTGTTTGGGCTCTAAGATTTCAACATGCCTCCTGGAAATCTTTTGAGGAATACCGACACTTCTGTACCGGGATCAGTTGGTGATGAGAGCTGCGTCTTTGGCTTCGATCACCCGGAAACCAGCGAGTGTCCGACACTGAAGGTGGCACGTTATGTTAGAAACGTGCAGCATGAATTTATTCCTTAGGGTCAAAGTGTCTGTCTATAACTTCTAGTATTTTGTTAGCTGTCCTACTCACCAACATCGCC